AAAGAAAAAATATTTAAGTGCTTTATATGTCATAATTGATGATAAGTTTAGATTTTTTACCCCTTGTTCAAGTATCTGTCAAAAGAATGAAGTGCTTAATCTCATTATCTAAAATTTTAATGATTTTTATTGCTGCATTATCCCAATTTGCGGATTTTCCATTTTCTTTTGTTTAAAGTACTACTCAAATTTTCTTATTTTTTTCCTATTAAATCACATTTTAGAAAGGAAAAAAAATTATATAAAAATTGTTTATTTTTTAAATAAGATCATCAGTCCGGTACTTGGTTAGAGTTTTTCTATACGGTGTTTATCTGATAAAATCTCTACTTTAGGGGTATTTTAGACTTTTATTTACTGAAAATCTAGCAACGAGTTCAGTAACTTTCCCGGCAAAAAAGTTAAAATTGAGTGTGGAGCCATCTGTTGAGAGGTTTTATTTTAAAAACTTCTTATATTATTAATTATTATAGAATGGCAAAAAGCTTAATTTTGAAGGTAGAGATGAGTTTTGTAAATGCTAATAACGATTAAAATCTTCATTAAGTCCGACCCCACTCGAGATATGACATGTGACCTATCTCTATCGCCTCATCCCCTCGACCTTTAACCACCAAAATTTAATGAAATCAATTCCCGTAATACATAAACTTCCTTTTTATTTTTTTTTCTTTTCGAGGTGCCCGAGTCCAAAAATGTAAAAATCTTTGGGGTCAATTTTTGACTCTTTGCCACACTTTTCCTCTGTTATATAACAGAGCAAAGTCATATATAACAGCCGGCAAAGTAGAAATTATTTTCTTAAATATAAAAAATTTTTAAATTTAAATTCTAATATATTTTTTGCGCTATTAAAACTGTAGATTTATACATTTTAATATCGAACAATGTAAAGATTTATAAACATAAAAAAGAAAAATTGCAAGTTTGATAGTGGGGGTGAAAAAGAATCCTGAACAGGATCACAAACAATTAAAGGGTCAGACCCATAATAAAACTATTACTAAGTGTAACTAAGAACCATTTAAAAAGTATTCTCTGGCACTTTTTCCATCTGTGTATAGAAGAATGTCCGTCATCTTAAAGTTCCCAACTAGTTTGATTTATCGGAGGAGAAGGGAAAAATTAAATCATTTATCACCTAGATGGCTATTTCGCTTTCTTCATTTTAATCGTGACTCATTGCTGTAGTATTTGGGAGTGGAGAGGTGCTATATGTAAATGAGACTCTCTCCTATTGTTGTGAAACGTGATTGATAACCATACCATATGTCATGGCTGAGAAAAGGCTTTCAAATGCTCTTTACCTTATACCTTAATCTGTAAGGATTTAATTAAGATAATTAAATCGAAATTTTAGTTTAAAATTAAATTCTTATGCTACGGTTACTCCGTAAAACCCGGATTCTTCACGATATTCTAAAAATTCCAGGCGAGTTCTATGTAAACTGAAACAATTTTAAATTAGTTATGGCGCTTATGATAAAGTGAGCATTATAAAGTATAAAATTACAAGTTATTTACGTAAATAAATTATAAATTTTGAGAGATTTCTTCCTATTTTTTTATGCTGCTAAGTTACAAGTTCTTTATGTCCTCTGTCTCGTTTATGACGCTAAATAAAAGTGTGAATGTCGATATTATGGAATTAAAAAGAGAAAATTATCATAAAAACCATTACTAAACCTTTATATAATAGTAAAATTCCGAAAAAATGTCGAAGGGTCTGTAAATAGGTCAAACGAAAAATCTGCAAAGGCATAAGAACTAGCTTTAATATAAGATAAATTTGGGTTATTTTAAGAGAACAATTTATTTTCAATTTTGTAAATTCCATTAAAAAATTTCTCCGTTTTTTTCTTTATTTCTTGTATACATATATTATATTTCAGATGTTATATAAGTGTTTTCTTCTACTTTCGAATAAAAGTTGTAGTTCGCTTTGGTGAAATTACTGGACCATCGACCGTTCTACCAAAAGTCGTGTGGTAGAAGTAACTAAATGGCACTATTGGTTAGAGAAGATTATTGATCCACTTTTTCTTCTGTATCATTGCATCTGTTTCGAAATGGCCAAAGTTTCGTTTGTAATTATTCTGCATATTTTAATTCCTGGTTGTATCTAAAATATAATTCTCTTCTATATAACTGACGCATTAATCTCAATTAATCATCATGTGTCAGTTTTATATACATAACAGTTCGTTAGTTATGTCTATCTCATGATAAATTATTGAAATATATTTATGTATATTACGGAAATTGTTCGTCGAAACGTGTTTGAACGTGTTGCAACACGTTTCGATAAGTCAGAACATGCTCAGTTTTAGTTATGTTCATTTCGATATTTAAAGTTTTGTATATATATTTTAATTTAATGTTGAATATTTAAAATTTAAAAATTAATCATGATTTTAGACATTTATTATGAATTAAATTTTAAAAAAGTTTTATTTAACTATCGATTTTGAAATGCCTGAATTCTAATGTTTTTCTTATAAATTCCTCTTCATACTCCCTTATTTTTAATATATTTTTATAATTTTCTTATAAAATATAGATCTAAAAAACAATATCTTATTCTTTAATTAATAAAGGAAGGCTCAAAAGTCAGTTAACAATTGTAAAAACTCAATTCTATAAGACAATGAGATCTGTAAGCAAGTTTGAAGTTCGAGACCCACGTAATTTGGCGATAGCAATGACCTTTGCGATGCGAAATCGTATATTTATTAATTTAACTCATAGAGACTGAAGCATTTAAATATTTAAAAGGAAGATTAGTTTATAAATATACATTGGCGCTCTGCGACGATGGCACTACATAGGACGAGGCAATATCGAGGTTTGACTGTACTTTATTAATTGCAAATTTTACAAGTGTCGCTCGAAATGCGACCCTCTTTGCTCAATCACGTGTTCACTTTACGATTCATGTATACAAAACTCGATTAACTGACTTTTAGGCCACTCTGTATTTGAATTTATTGATGAAATTCTGTTAGATTTAATAATATAAATTAAAAATAGTTTAATTAAATGAACTTGCAATACGAATAAAACGATTTTATTTAATGGTATAAAATTTAATAATAGTATTATAAGAGTATTATTAAGATTAAGATTTAAAGCTTGCTATTCTATCAGCAACGCAATAATTGCGATTCTACTGATAAAGAGAATAAAGCTGGAAGTGAAACTATCTCTGCTGCAAACTTATTACTCTACTAGCATCAGAATAACACAGTAACTAAGAGTGGGTACAAACTACTTTAATAGTAATGGATCATATAACAGAGACTATAATAACAACTAATGAAAGCTATAAACTTGCTTTACTAACAGATATATTGTACAAGTGTAAGTTAAATGCAGTTTTAGTTACGGAATCAATTACGTAGCCGGCTACTACAACAAAATATATTAAAATTTTCTTTTCATTATGCAAAAATTTATACGTTTATGGTTAAAACATACATATATATAATATAATTGGAGTTAATGAAGTTGGCTGAACGTGAAGTGGTGGAGTTGAAGCGTACAATTGAATGGATATGTTAAGTTTTGTTTGTCATAGATATAGAAAATCTCATCTGCAATTTGAAACGTTGAACTGTAATTTCAAAATTTCTCTTCCCATTAAGAATACAATTAAAGCAGAGAAATAAATAGTTATTACTCTCCCATAAATGAAACTCATCCGTTACCATAACAAACGTTTAATAGTATAAACCAGAAACAAATGATAATTAAAGGAAAGTTTCATTATCAAATGTCGTAAAATAAAATCTCATAGGGGCAAAATTGTTCTTTAACCTAAACTTTACACCTGTTGGAGAGAAAACTTTTGATCAAAATATGAATTATTCAAAAGTATTAGAATAAAGTACAAAGTTTTATGGTGTAGAGGAATATAAAGACAAAATATATGCTGTATAGTATAAGCAATCCGCAAATCTGCAGTAAAATTGTAGCTTTTCTCCATCCCTGTGCAAGCAAACATGTGTCGTAAATTAAGTGAGCAAGTACAGTTCACGTATGTGATAGCTGCGCTCCGTGACTATTAACAGGAGTAGAACCGGCGATAAACCACAGAGGAGAAGTTCTCTTTGATTAACTTGATACCTCTCCTCTACTTCTTTGATTTCTAATTAATTCCTAAATTTAATTGTGTGTGCATGCACTTGAATTTTGTTTCAGGTAGTAAGAGTTCGATCATACGATTCGTAGCGGTACGTTAAAGAAATTTTAAAGTATCGCTGTCATCCTAATTTTAATTCGATGCTTAAATATTATGAAAAATCTCTTAAATTATAAATAAATTGAAAGCTTTTATCGAGGATAAAAGCAGTTATTCATCTGCAGTTTTTTTATTAACAATTGTTATCAATAAAGAAACACTAAATGATTAAAATAAAGAAATGCCTCTAAGTAAAAAAAGAGAAAAACACTTCTAGTTTTAATATCTAAACGTATAAAATAAAGTTAAAATTAAAATTTTACATCACTAATCTTAAATTCTGAGGGGATTGAGTTTCGTACTTAATGTTGCTGCTCACTATTATCATTTATAAATTTGATTCTTAAACTTCTTTAATAATAAATTATTTTAAAAAAGGAAGGATTCAACCAAATCAATTTTCTACACAACGGATAACAAGATAAATCTTTCTAGATAACAAGGATGCAAATTTACACTTTGTAGCTATATAAGCAATATTATTAAGAGCGTCGATTTAATCAAACCTTCTGCAAAGATTTCATTTTTTTTTTCTTCTATCTTCTTCTTTGTTCCTGATACATCTTTACTAAATAAATTGTTTCAGCCACCAACGGAGAAGCAAATTAATGACCTGAAATTCACATTCAATTCGTGCAAACTTTTGTTTAGTGCAAGAAAATATGCTCAAATTTGATGTTTATCCTAATAATTAATCATTATTCCGTTTCCATTTTGGTGTATTTATCTAATTTGAACTGACGTTTAACTCATATTTTAGGTATTAATTATGAAGAGGAGCCATTCTTTGCTGAACCTATACAAAATGTGACAGTTGCACTCAGTCGAGATGCACAACTCACCTGCATCGTCGATAATCTCGGTACTTACAGGGTAAGATCTTTTTGAAAAATATTCAAATTCTAGGCATTATAAGGCATTAATAACGTTTTGTTTTTTGTAGGTTGCATGGATTAAAGTGGAGACGAAAGCCATACTGACTATCCACAATCATATCATAACTAGAAATTATCGAATCAGTTTGAGCCATAACGATAACAGGCATTTCGTATTACATATCAAAAACGTACAAAAATCAGACAAGGGTGGTTACATGTGTCAGATTAATACCGCACCAATGAAGAGCCAAGTTGGTTATCTGGATGTTTTAGGTAAGACTGACATTTCTTAGTCGCTCTAATTGAAGTAATAGTTGAGGGTGTGGTGTGCGTGATCAAGAATTTCTAATTTTTTTTACCTTTTTTTTAACGTGTAATGGCTGGAGAAAAGTTAATAGAATGGAAATGTTCTAGTTGTGAGGTTTGTACGAGATTGTTTTGAATGAATAATGGGGTTTTACTTTGCTAATATATTTTATATTTTACTTATTGATCTGGAAGTTTATTATGGTTAGAAAAAAATGTCTCTAAAATTGTCTGCGAAATTTTAGTAATAAGCAATTTAACTTTTTTTTATTTAAAAACGTGCCTTATAAGAAGTATTGCTGATTATTTCTCACATAAACCAGTGTGGCACAGTTGTTTCTTTAAATAACGAAACAATTATATACCACGTAGGCCTATATAAATACAGAATAAATTTTTAAAAAAACAGTTGCAAAATATTAAAACGGGCAGCACATATAAAACAGTGGTAAAATAAAACGTAAAATATATTTGAGTATGATAGAAAAGTTGGTAGAAGCGCGCTGTGAGAATGTTAAACAGCGTAGAAACTAAAACCAAAGTTTCGATTTACAGATGTAAATGGTTGTAGCCGGTGCCAAAATTAAATCCCACAACGCCATCGAAACAATACAATCATATAACGTCCAATCCCCCCGTTACTTGCTCGACATAAAAAAGAAACAACTACTCAATTTCCAGGCATTTATCATACTGTCCAATACCCTGTGTATCTTTAGCAGACATCATGTACTTGTTACACGTCACGTAAACTCATCAAACTCACGACAGGATCACGCAATGCTTTAAATTACGCCATTTTACCACATATAAAAAAATCATGATTTTAATTAATATGCATAAATATTGAATAAATCTTGTCTAGCTTTCTAATTAGTAGAAGAGGTTATCTTTCTAACTTAATTGTATCGAAAGTTAGTAAGGAAGAAGAAAAACAGAAGAGAAAGAATAGCAACCACAGAAGGAAAAAAAAGAAAGGAAAAGGAAAGATACTAGCTAACGATATAAAAACTTTAGGAATCTCTGTTTAACGATGTTACTAAGAGTTGTTAAATTGCTATTGCTATTGTTGTTAACATCCTAATTTCTTTTCTCAGCATGTTAACACCAACTGCTAATTATCCATTTGTAGTTCCTCCGGATATATTAGTTAAGAATAGCAGTTCAGATGTAATTTCTAGAGAAGGGTCCAACGTCTCTTTAACATGTAAAGCGGCCGGTTATCCGACTCCCAACATATCATGGAGAAGAGAAGACAATGAGAAGATACCTTTAGGAATGTGGCAAGGTAGAAAAGTATTAGGTGAGAAATTTATTTGAAAATCTCCTATGCTCAATTCTAATCTGTTTAATCCCTTGGAAACCATTAAGCAACTTATCTCTTTTTATTTGTATTTTTTTTTCCTTGTAGCTACTACTTATGATGGAGAGTTTCTGAACATTACCAGAGTCAGCAGGCTTCATATGGGTGCCTATCTTTGTATAGCTTCGAATGGAGTACCGCCATCTGTCAGTAGAAGAATCATGTTGCATGTAGACTGTGAGTAGCCCCATTTACTGATTGCTTTGCAGCCAAACACGTTGTTATGTCGTTAGGGAATGATGTTAGACCTGGAAATTAGTTTATTGTACTTCTTCACTCTTTTAATGGAGGAGGGAAGAAGGGTCCTGGAATCTTAGTAAATGCTCGGCACGTTTTTAGTGATGTTATACATTTTATGCTTCTTTTGTGTTATATTTTATACGAAAAGTTACATAACACCAACTCAACTTATGTAAGAGACTCCATGCCCATCACTTACACAACAAATTCCCTTTACTTTTTCTGTTACATTGTTAATTTTGGACCGTCTATAAGCTCTCAAACATGCCTAAAAAGCATATAAAATATCTAAACTTAAAAAAAAAAACTGATGAATTTCTACAAGTGAAAAGCAAAATTTCCAATCAAATTTTAATCTTGTTATTGATCATCGTCTTCTTATCTAATTGTCAGAACTGTAAAATAAATTATCGAAAATTCTACTTTTATTGTTTATACTCGAAGATTTATGTTGTAGCAGTGTGCTTAACCCACTTTTATTCTCCAGAAAAAAAGAAAAAAAAATTATTTTTCCCTCCTCCTCACTGCACTCTACCAATTAGGTCATCGCGATCCATTAAATGTCAAAAACTATTTTAATGTCTTCTATCATTGGCTTCTAGCTAAACATATACAGTAAAAGAAAAGTATATTTATATACATGAAAATGTGTAAATTTATAACACTTAACTAAAAATTTAATATTAATTTTTTAATCATAAAAATAACCGAATTAAAAATTATACTTTATAATAACTCGTATATCATTTATAATTATTTTTAAAGTGACTTTATACACAAACTTTGACTATAAATTTAAATTATCCTTAACTTTTCTTCCAATTATTGCATGTAATTTTTTTTTATTTTTAATATTCTTTATGGATTTTCTTATCTTTTTAATTAATAAGAACATTTTTAGCCCTTTCTAAACTTTTTCAGACTTCAGAAAGAGTAAATTCAACAGAAATTTTACATAAATTTTAATTATAAAACGTGAAAAACTCGTCAATAAATCATTTTAAACAAATATTTTATGTGTTATACAAACATATTTAAGTTCAAAATTTATTACATTTGCACATATGTGAATATATTTATCAAAGTCGCATTTAAATCACATTTTCCAATTATTGCATTATTACCGAGAATATCTTCGGAATTAAATATTAATTTTAAGTAAATCGCTTGTGTAATAGAGTTAAAATATGATAAATTGCATAAAATTTAAATCGCATTGAAATATATTATATTATTCGTTCATTTCTATGTAATACCTAGAATAAACTGTAATAAAAATTTTAATTCGCGTGCCTGGAATTATTATATTTGTTTAATTATCTTTTTCTAGAATCAAAACACGTGTAGTAGCATGCATTAAGCGTTTAAAGGGTTTACTTTTCGTAATTTTAATTAATGTACCTGTCATTTGCATCAGTGAAGTTCTTCGGATACATCCCACTCATTTCAGTTTGGGAAAATTTAATAATTCTCTATTTGTTAAAAGTCGACTTGAAATAAAATTAATCAAGCGTTTTCTGGTTATTAACCCCCTCTTACTGAATTTCTAATCGAATTGCCTTTCTTTTGTTTTCCTCAAAACATAAATCGATAACGATTTTCCAAATTTAGAATGGTGAAAGTTTTCTCAAATGGGAAAGATAATTATTTCATTACCTCGCTTGATAAAAATAAATTGAAGCAATTATCTATTTAGAATGTTCTTTTAAATAGGATAAAATCATTGAATTTCTATAGTTTATTATTTTAAAAATAGTAAGAAATTATACTTTATCTCCTTAATTTGATAACATTTATCAGTTTGATACGTCCAGTTTTGCTTATCATCTCAATCAATATTGACTTGTAAATGCAGGAAAACATACAAATTTCTGGGGGTTTATTCTTTGTACAAGTGTATACTGTACGCCGAATACGGGTTAAACTTTAATTTTTAATTTTGAATTAATTTCTAAACCGAAAGAATATATCAAACTTCTCATCAGATAATTAATTAGATAAAGTTGATGATTGTCTCGACTGGGTAATTAGAATATCATAAATAATACTTTTGTACAGATTTTAAAAAATAGAAACGTATAAAAATACTATTTTTATATGTTTCTAATTATATGACTAAGTAAATTTTCATTTTAAAAATATATATTTTTCTATAAATATAATCATTACTTTAATTAATTGCATGATTGCATGATTTTAGAATATTATTGAATTTTATTAATTTTTCAATCCTATTGATATTTTCAAGAACTCGAATGTATTAATAACCATAATATGACGTGTTTATGTCATTTTTAAGCTATTTACTATTTTAAAAAATTACGTTTTAATGAATTACTCAACCGTTTCTATTAATTTATTTCCTTATTTTCATTTATTTCATTTAAAATAATTAATTTTAATCAAACTAGATGTAGATTATCTATTATAAATGTAGAAAATTTATTATTTACATAATTATTTTCGATTTTTTAATATTTTTTATATATATTATCAATTGGAGAATCTTTAAGTGCATCAACTATATTTGCACAGAACATGTATATTTTTTTTAATGAAGTAAGCCCTATGTTATTTGAGATATTTCTAATTTGTTATCTAAAGCCTTAAGCTCTCTTTTTCTTTTTATCCAAGTTAAAATTTAACAAAATTATCAAACTCTGTTTCCCCCTTCTTAGAAAAGCTGTCCAACTCTTCTCACTATCCTCTTGAAGCTACAGTAGATTAGCGATAATGATTAATCTAATTTAAACCACTCTACTTCTACTCAAAAATAGTTAATTATGTCTAAAATATCATTAAAATTTAAATATTTGTCATACGTTTTGTAAATTTGCATAATTTTAATTTACAGTTCCTCCAGTTATGTGGATACCTAATCAGCTAGTGGGTGCTCCTATGGGGAAGGATGTCACTTTGGATTGCCATACGGAAGCGTATCCCCAATCTATTAATTTCTGGTCTAAAGAAAAAGGGGAGATATTGTTATCTAATGACAAGTACGAAATCGTATCTAAAAAAAAGCTTTATAAAACGCACATGAGGTTAACCATCAGAACTTTAAATAATGAAGACTTTGACACTTATAAATGTTACTCCAAAAATTCTTTAGGAGAAACTGAAGGAGTTATACGATTATATGGTAAATTTTATTTCATTTATGCATATTTTAATTCTTTATACATTTAAATAAATAAAGGAAAAGGTAATTTAAAATACTCCTTCCAAAACGATTCTTACTCTAGCTACGTACAAGATAAATTAATGAAGCTTGAGATTTTTTAGAAATTTAAATGAATTTTTAAATTAATTATTAAGTAATTATAATATTTTATTGTTTTTTCCTATTAAAGTAATTTATTAAAAAAATAAAAATTAAGATAATCGAGAAAATTATATAGCATATTTTAATTAAGGCCGATAATGGATCTGTTGGGAAGAATATAATTATACAAGTTAATGAATTCATAATCTTATACGGATCAACTGCAACAGTTTATTAGAATTATCTTCTGGTTAATCAGTCTTCTTCCCTTGAGATAAATATAACTTAATGGCTAGCATTTTTTATAATTTTTTTTAAAAAAGTTCCAATTACATCTGAAAATCGCCTTCGTAACCTCTATTTATTTAAAATTTATATACATTATTGCAAAATTTAACTTATTTTTTAGTATTATTAAGTAAAAATTATATTTTAAATTTTATAAATTGTTATACTTAATTAAACATCACAATATTCCTTATTTTATTCTTGAGATCCGTTCATCTCTTCTATTATATTTTTCCGAATTAAATTTTTAGGAAAAAAAAAATTATATTGGATATAGATCAATATTTCAGATATTTATACAACTTTCAATCCAAAAATGTACTTAATCCAATTTTCTCGATTCTTCATCCAAACGTGAACAATGAAGTGAAGAAGAAAAGAATATGAAAGACATAAAAAAAAACTAGAATAAATGAAAATTCGGAGTTGCAATTATGAAATGACTGGAGCGAATCATCGACAATCTTGATCCTTTTTCTATCTAAGGTTGACATAAGCAATTAAGTAGATGTAATGAGTTGAAGAGCAAAGATCATTTTTGCAATTGCCACTCTTAAGACATGTCACTATCATTTCTTTATATTGAGGTTATGAAGGCGGAGAAATATTTTTATCTTTTTTTAATCTGATTGTTGGATTTTGGTTTAAATGTTTTTTTTTTCCCTCCTCCAATATATATGTATGTATATATACATTATACGTACAGTACGTATATATTTAATCTTTAAAGATATCTAAAAAAAAATTTATTCGGTTAAAGAAAACTTTATAAATTGTGACAGGTTTTTAAATTATTGTTCTAAGATTTTAAAAAAGTCTGATAAAGAAATATATAAAAAAATATATAATTTTAATTAAAGAAAAAAAAAACTTTAATGGTGGAAAAGAAATTGAGATTATAAGCTTTAAATTTTTTTTAAAATTATTTTTAAAGTCCATATAATTATAATAAAAAATTTTTAAGTTTTAAGGAATATTTTTAACGCTAATTATAATTTTTAAAAATGATAGTTTTACATTTTACCCTTTTAAATCGCCTTAAATGTTTATATTTATTTCGATTAACTTATAAATAAAATTTTAAATTAATAAATACAGTTTAAATAGAATTTTGGATATATAAAAAGTAAGTTATGAGCAGAAAATTTTACTTTTTGAAGGAGAAAAGCAACTTACAGCTGAAACTTGTTCTTTAAGTCCTTTCAAAGTTTTGTTGGAAGAACAAGGTGTACTATCAAGCCTTTGAAGTTGAAGATGTAGAAAAAGGAATTGCGGATATCGAAAAAGCATTGAAGATATAAAAAAATCACACATTGATTGTATAAAGATGAAAAAAAATGATAAAAATGGATAAAAAAAAGTATTTTCAGATAGAAGATATGATTGTAAAACAAAACAATATCCAGCTGTAACTTAATTCTTATCTTACAGTTATGTATATCGATACTAGTTTATATAAATTCTGAGTAATTTATTCATTTAATAAGATGTAATCCTCCCTGGTAAACTTTCACATATATCTTTAAAGATAAATATAATTCTTTCCGGTAACTTGAAAGTGTTTATTTTTTTTTTCTTATTATCTTATTAAAATTTTAACAATTAAGTAAATAATAAATAGGTTAGACTTAGAGTTATAAGCTGATTTTAAGTCTTCATACAAAATAAATTTACTAATCTCTTTTCTCGTTTAATCTTTTATAATCCTTATTATCTTATTAAATTTAATAATTAGAAAAGTTTAACAATACAAAAAGTGATAGTTTAATTATTGATGCGTAAATTTATTCGTGTTTTTTTATTTAAAAAAAAAGAAGAAAAAATTGAAGAATTTTAAGAAATTTAAAAAAAATAGTTAAATTTTTTAAATAAATAAATTAAATTTCTGTTAATTTAGAAATTCCACCTCCAACGATTGAACCTAATAAAGATGCAAATACAATCAGAAGGCAAAGTTCAGAAGGTAAGGAGTTAATTAAGTTTCGTATAAATTAAACTACCAGAAATATATACCACCGAATTTAAACAAGATTTATCAAAAATAGGTGTTGAGTAGGGATGAGCAACATAGAGATAAAAAAAATTTCCTATCTTTGAGTTAGTAAAAACCTGTTGTACTGATGAGAAGGCACAAGACAATTTATCACTACGTAATGGGCATGTCACATTCACTGGACACTTGGGCCATACTTGGATGTATACGGGATAGAAGTGAGCCTTTTCGCCTAAGGGTACTACTTGATACACTATAATTGGATGTCACCTATCTCGGAATGTACACCCCCCTTTGAGATTTGTCGTTTGACAGAAAGGTCAGTCTACAACATCTGACGGTGAAAATAGATGGAAGTTTAAGCGTTTACTATTTTCTTACTAACGTTTGTCGTTAGAAGAGAATGAACTCTATTTCCTTCTTCCACATTTACCTTCATTCATACCATTACCGATATTGGTTTTGTATACGATTAAGGAGTCTTGTTATAGAACTGTAAATAGCATAAGACGATAACTCACTTTACTACAAATTTTTTAAAACGTGGCTTACATTTTTTTATACTTCAAAATCGTTATTTTTAAATAATATTTTTTTGTATTAACACATTTCTTATCAATCTTGGCTTGATGCGAAGAAGCAAGTATTATATAATATATGAAGCATGTCTTTTTATAAAGACGTAACTAAAAAGACAGTCTATCGATTGCCTTTTTTGTTGTATCTTTATCAATAGATTGTCTTTTTTTCAGGTGGAGAAGACAATTATTGGATTATGTCTTCTTCACCAGAATTTTCACTATATTATTAACTCATTTAAAAAAAGTGACAAATTTTATTGAGAAATTGATACATTTAAACAATCCCACGATAAAATATAACCAACTTTTCACAAATAAGTCTAATAAAATGAATTCAAAAACAATATCCTTTGATTTTATATATATATTTTTTAAAATATAATAGAAACTTAAGAACCCGAACAATGACTAATTCTTTATAATATATGCATTTTTGTTTTAAATTATGATAATAAATTATACAGATGATAATAAAAAATTCGGGAGTATATAACAGAATTTATAATATTCCTTTCTTTTTTTGAAAAATAATCGACATAAAACTTTCATTTTGTTCTCTGACACCACCATAAAGACCGTAATAATCACAGGATCTTTATCATCTTGCAGCACAGAATAGTTCTCTTGGTGTTTGATGGTCTTTTCCATGTTTCTTGTCTTTAAATGATCATTCCAAAGAACCAGCTTTCATTGCCCAGTTTTCTCTTTACCGTTTTCATCTTGATATATATATATATATATTTTTTCTCATCTCAGTTTGAAAAAGTTTCCATCCCTCCCTCCTTTTATTTTTTTTCTTTCTTCAATCATAATTTTTTTACTTCTAAATATATAAATTTTAAGCATGTTTTCTTCGATTCGTCTTATATTTATGCATTTTACTTTATTATTATTTTTTTTAATTCTAAACCAAACGTTACAATATACTTAACCTGTTTAAGAGGAGATCAAAAGAAGCGTATTAAATTTATTCCTTGCTAATTTTTTTTATATTGGTATTATTTAAACATTTTTTGTTTAATTTTTATCAATTAGTGTATGAAATTTAAATGGGAAGCTCGTGAAAAAATCATATGAAGAAAACAATCTATTCACATTTTAAATTAAGCATGGAGAGACTAATGATATCTCATAATCATCAGCAGTCTACTTGGCCTATTAAACTAGCTTTTTTTTTAAATTTTCTTTGGGTAACTCGTTTTCCATCTAGTCGATATTTCAGATTAGTGTCAAACAAGTCTTTGAAATGTTTCAGTACGAAACACTTTAACTTCTTACATTCTCTAGATAAAAATTAAATATTCTACGTTATTTTCAGGCGTGTGAATAAATTTGACTTTTTATAATGAATTTTTTTTTCATGTATTTATATTTAAATTTACTCTTTGGAAAGTGTGAAGATTATCAATACGAAAAGAATTGAATATTATAAAGACCTGTTCTAGAGATAAATTGATAAAGTTTGCTAATCACTAAAATATATTCACTCTTGTTGGTTAAATCCATTCATCAGTAGAAGATATTTAAAAAAAAGAAAGTTAAATTTTTATTTTTTTTAAATTGAACTTTATTGAATTTTAATGGATACAGAAAATATAAATTTTAAAACCACTCTTTTTATTTATCAAAGGAGGACAAAACTGTCATCACGTTCTGAATTATACAGTAGTATGATGTGTTTTTACTTATACATTACTATAATTTTTTTTATAACTGAAAGTGATAATGTTTCTCATTAACTCGTTCTACAAAAAATAAAAAAATGACAACAAAAAACCCTTGCCATTTTTTCGTATGCACTTCACTAACCGAATCTATTTCTCTTGGGCAATTGTAAACTAGTTCTCATGGAGTCTATAACTGCTTAAGGGTCTTGTTTCCCTGTTGAATTCTGTGACTAGGATTCTTAGCCTAGTCACTTTTTTTAGGGGGAAAACTTCTGTTTAAAATTACTTATCCATCTTGTTTCATCCACTAATTTATTTAGTAATTGTCAATAATCAATTTACTCCGAACTGAACTAATTTAAAAAGGATGGTAATCATTTAAACTAATACTCTTGGGTGTTTATGAAGAATTTTTCAATATTATAAAGTGATTATAAGAAGAAATTTTAAGTGATATTTTTATTCGTTTCTCGATAACTATTTTGATGATAAAATTACGAAATTTTCAACACAAAATTTGGAAAAAAAATTTAATAAAAAATTATCAGAATGTAACTTGTTAATTATTTATAATAGCACAATATTTTTTTATTATCATTAAATATTTACAGATTTTCTTATAGATAGATAAATAATGCATACATAATTAACAAGACATTTTGATTTTAAATTGAATTTAAGCAAATTTATGATGGCAAAAACTTAATTTTTCTACGAATAATTTTAATATTATATAAATTTTAATATTTAAAGTGAAATTTAACTATTTCTTAAAGCAGTTAACAAATACAATGTTTCAAATTTATTTACCAGCTTTAAAAAAGAGGTGAATAAATGTTTTCTTGGAGGAATATTTACGAAATTAGTCGCTTTTAAACAAATTAAATAATAAAAGTATTGCTATTTATAACAAATTTATATTCTTTATTAAACTATATATTTTCTTTAGTATTTCTGTATTTTTTTCCAGCATTTCCTCAGCATCAAAGTCTAGGATCGTCTCACGAACTTGGAGAGAATGACAAACGTCGACAATCCCATCGAGGTTAGTTTCCAAGATAATTTAAACTTCTTCCTTTGCATGTAATCCACTATAGAAATATTTTCCTATTTAGTAAACCTTATTGCATATATATTGCATTCAATATTTAAATTTTTATACATTTTTTAGCATAGTGCATAAATAAAGAATAAGGAACTGACTGTCAACTAAAATTTCATACCATAACTAATTTAAATTTTGCTATTTTTTGTTTTATTTATAAAGCATTGTTTTCCTAACCCAATAGATGTGTAAAGGAGGAGGAAAGATATAATTTCAATGCAAAAAATAGTTTATATCTGATTAAAAATTGTAAACTGTTAATCTTAAGCAAATGTTCACGTTATCAAATTTAATTAATTTTTTTGCTATTTATTATTAGAAAATATTTTTATTAATACGTGCATTATTTTTTTATTTATAAAAAGTTATTATTATCCAATTTTAATATTAAAAAATGTGATTTTTTAAATTAGATATTGATCAATGAATAATATATTAAATTTTGTAAACGATCAGGGTGATTTTTGTTGTATCAAAGGAGCAAAATAACTCAAAATCATATATTTATCGGGTGTCAAATAATTTAATATAATATACTTCAGCCTAATATAATTTTGGAATAGAATTTACCTCACTCATTTGACCACCTTTGGGGTATGCTATTTCTATCCACATTAGTGAGATAGTCACATAAGTGGGGTTAGCACAAAATTAACATACAAAACTGTAGAGTACAGCATTTAATTCTGTTACAAGATGAGTACAGATGATAAAAGTAAACAAATAATAATACTGCGCAACCTTTGCAATATACTTTCATACAGGGTATGGTATTAACACTGAATAATAGAGTATTAAAATACAGTACATATGTACAGTACTGTACAGTGAATACCCGTAGACAGAATCAATATGCTCATGAAATGGTAGTAGAGGTTTTGTATAAATACTGTATTTTAACAGGAGAATTCAGAAGGGGAAAAAAGAATTTAAATATGCAGAAGTGTTTAAATGTTAAATAAATAAATAAATAATGTTAATAATTAAACTGGGTTTAACATCGGGGTCTGGCATTTCTTTTCGTTGAGTGACAAATCAGTGACGTAGACTGATTTACGTAGTTATATTTTTACAAAATACAATCAAATTTTGCGTAAAATTATTAAACAAATATACAATATTGTCTTTCTTCTTACTGAAATCTGTAGATAAATTTAATTTGTGAGTGTAAATAAAGATATATTTTATTTGAACAATTGCCTGAGGGATCCCAACAGACTTTTCCTAAACTATAGTAACAAAGCTCAATTCCATTTAAAGTGCTTTAAACACGTCGAGTTTAGGTCTGTTCTGTCCTTTTTGTTGGCCACGTAAATGGGGATAAGGACATTTAAAAGAGGTTGCGGTGTCCACTTATAGGCCTACGTAGTTTGATTTGTATTAAAACTTATAGAGAAATTTCAGGGGTGGCCACATAAAAGAGGAATTGTTGTTTACATCACAAACAATTATTTTCGATTTATCTCAGTTAATGGGTGACTTTCTTCACAAATCTCCTTGAAATAGTTGAAAGAAAGGGGAATTTTAAAAAGAGGATTGAGTTTAATAGAGAATTAAGAATTTGATCTACTTCAATAATATAAATTTATACTTTAAAAATATTTTTTCGAGTATCAGAGTTGGAGTTCTCCTTGTTGAGTTTGGATACAATTCATAGTTTGTTGACATTAGCTTGAATATATAAATATAACACAAGAATTCATTTACTGTTTCTTTAACCTTCACAAAGTTTTGTTCGATATTAAAACTATGCACATTCACCTTTATAAACTTTAGAGAAGAGAAGATTGCGTGGTTAAAATGGCGTGAATCTTACAAAAATCACGCACTTAAAAATTTTCATAATTTTATTAGCTCCAATTTTAATAAAAAAAATTATTTTTTTTGAATCAATTCGTTTCAAAGCACCGAATACCAAAAGGAATTTTTCATATCTTTTTATATTTATATAATTTTCTACATAAATTGAAAATCCGATTCGCTCAGTTTTCTTTTTTCTTTCTTTATCCTTAAGAAATATATCTTCTAAAACTATATTAAAATAAAATGAATTGAGTATCACTTATATATATATATATATATGGGATAGCCCAAAAGTCAGTTAATTGCTGTCTTTTATTTACAAATCTCATTTAAAATTCTTCAAAATAATATCCTCTTGTTCAATACGTAGGTTACGATGTTCATGATCGCAAAACAACGCACAAAATAAAACAATTTAACTGACTTCACAAATAAATTAAATATATAAGTAACACAATGCTGGCTGAAAATTTTAATCATTTTTTAATTTATTTAGTTTAAAATATATGCTCTCGATTTTAGTAGTGTCTTGCCCCTGTACATCATATTTTTCCTGTTAACAATAGAGTTATACCGGTCATCTATCTAACTCTGTTTAGGAAAAAATTTTTGAATCGAAATAACGTGACTTCCGTTCCAAACCGGACGTTCGTATATAATTAATTGAGGTTTCCTGCCGTAAAATTTATACATATGATCTCGAATTTCATCTATCTAACTCCGTTCCGAGATTAAGGAAGGACAGACAGACAAACTGATAAACAAATGCCAGTGGAAAATAGGTCGGCAATTTTTGAAAATTGCAGTCCAAATACGTCGCTAACACACAATATAAAACACGATTAATTACTTCCGAGTATGGCCATCGAGAGGGGGAAAACTACAAATTCCCCCCGGACTCGGAGTCCTTAGTGGTTCCTACCCCATAAATTAATGCTACTATTACTACGAGAAAATATTTTTTTTATTAATAAAGAAAGATTCTTCGTATTTCATTTATTCAAAAAAAGGGGGGACCTTCTCTACCCCAGACCCCATACAAATTCCCGACGTCCTCTACGTATACAAAGCTAAAATTTTTATATTTTATTCTATATATACAAAAATCACATTTAAAAAAAGAAAAAAAAATTTATTTAAAAGTGTAAAATCATTTTACTGAATAAATGCACCATTTCCTCTTTAGGCCGATTTAAAATTGGAAACTTTCGTCGTTAAAAAATGATTAATGTTTCATTTGTCGTAGATACTTTATAGGCCCTATAGTAAATGCTATAAATTATTTTGTATTGCTACTACAGTAACAATTCTCCTTTAAAAATATCCTTTAACGTTCAAATTTTGTCACGATAGTACAAGCAGTATCGAAACCGTGATACTATTATAAATAGAAGTAAGATAAGGATTATTGAATAGATGTAGTTTAGCTTTTAAAAATTCAACAAGAGAACTTTTTATTTAAAAAAAATATATATATCTTTTCTTTATTTTTTTTAAATTAAAGAAGTATTTTTATATAAAATTTGTTAGCTTTATATATATATATATATATTTGTTCAAGACTTTTTTTCTATAAAGAAAAGGTGCAAAACTTCCAACTAAACGCTTTCGAATTAATTTTTAAAACCGAAAATTTCTAATATTAAAATTTTCTCTATAGAAAAATATATAATGCAAATTTCTTTCGATATTTATGAATAATTTTTTTTAATATTAAACTTTAAAATTGATTTTTTTAAGGGGGAAAAACTTGGAAACGGAATATTATACGTTCCAAAGTAAAAAAAAAAAATTAAATAAAATAAATTTGGGAAGGAGCCAAATTTTCACGTAAATCTATTTTTAATTTAAGAGTTTTCGAGAGAGAATAAAATTTATATATATTAATATTTGAAAAAAAGTTTATTTAAATGGTTTATATTACTTATTTTGCTGTGATCTAAATTACAAGTGGTTACTATTTTTAATATTTAAATAAAGTTACATATTGATAGGATTTAAATAAAAATAAAAAAAAATTTGGAGGGGAATGTTTATATATTGAAAAAATTATATATTAGAAGGAGTAAATATTTTGATGAGATTAAAAATAAATGTATTAAAATTTGTTTTTTTTAAATAAAAAAGAAAAAATAGATAAATTTTGGATGGATTATTTAACAAAAATATATATTGGGAGAGAGCAATTTTGATTTAAACAAATAAATAAATAAAAAGACAAATGAAATTTCTTATCTATTATATTTTTTTAATTATTATTTTAAAATGTTTTTACCAATAAAATTAAAAATCAGATTTATAATTTTAAAATATTTATATTTTTAATTTTGTTTACATAGAAACAAGCAGTAGTCAGTTCTTTATGCAAGTCATTTACATAAAAAAGAGACATTTATTTGAAAAAATCTACTTAAGATAAATTAACTAAATATTGAGAATATTTATCTCATTAGTAGGCCTTAACACTCTATTTATTTTAATTATATTAAAAGAAATTTTTCTTGCCTGAGCAAGCTTTAATTCCACTGCAAAACTGCAATATTTAAAAATACGTAACATGGCACAACTCTTAAAAAATGAATGAAATAAATCAGCTTATAAATAGCAAAAAGTGGAAATTTAAAAATTCCCGTAGAAAAATACATAAATTCATCTGCACACGTAAACTTATAACGATCCGAAACTTAGAACATTAAAACTTAACTGCAAAGAATAAAGCAATGAAGAGAGAAGAGACGTTAGAGATTTATGGAAGTTTGAAAACTTTTGGTCAGAATTCGGTCGACCATAAAACAATCATGTGTAACTATTTTATAACTTAATTGATTCGGTTTTCCTTCATAAAATTTCCTTTCGTCTTCATCTGACGATATTATAGATTCACCATCTGCGACGTTCCAACTTAAAATACAAAACGCTTGCTAAAAGGAATTGGATCGAACACTGAACCAAATTTGAATGCAATTGAATTCCATCCGGAGCAAAAAGGGGAGCGGGATATAAAAAGAAGATATTTTCCAAAACCGAGAGATGAACCAGGATGTAGAATATTCGAAACCAGATGAGCTTCTTCACTCTATATGTCGGTAGTAAGTCTAATTTGGTGTATACCACAAGAAAAAAAAAAAGGAGAGAGAACTCAATTCCCGATCTCTATATCCATTTCAATTTTTTTTTGTACGATTATATTTCTATCTATTTCATTTTTAATAAGAGATTTACATAAGGTTTTTTTAAAAATTAATTTAATGAAAAATTTTCGATTTTTTAGCTTATTATAAATCACCCTTGCTATTCTTGTACGGAAAAAAAAATATCAAATATGTCCATTTTATATATATATATATTTTTTGTAAGGATTGATGCACTCATATTTTCATAAAAATCCTATATCTCTACACATATCCTTCCTATAACTCAAACGATTCGCTCCATTTTGCAATTTGTCCATATCTCATTCTTTAACCGTAGCTCATAAACGCGTTCAACATTCCGTACCATAAACATTTCATACATTAAAAAGAGCGAGAAAAGAAAGCAAAAGAGATTTGTGAGTTTCCTTTTAACTCCATAAAACATTAATGGCATAAAATCAATTTTTGAGATCGAAAAAAAAAGAAAAAGGAAAAGAGATTCTTCGGCGAGTGACAAATATTAGCAATAATGCAATATCCTTACATCTGTAAGATAAAATGTAGGTTTTGTTGTTATTTCAGACGGAAGCTATCACATATCGGAGGATGTGAAAGCTGCTTTAGAAGACCACAGTCTGTCGGAGAAGAATCATGAACTTACGAAGTCAAATTGTGGTGAGTGTGGCGTGGACGTGGAACATGTGTCCTAGCTCGTGTCACCAGAGATCCATCAAGTGTCACCAGCTGCAAATGGCATCTTACTGTTTGTCTTAGTATAAATCCCATGGGATATTTAAATCCTTTGCTTGCCTTTATTCTTTTACTACTTTCCTAACTTATAAGAAGATCAAAAGTAATAAGTTTCCTTATTAAATAATTCATTACTTATTATATAATAATAATAATAATAATAATAATAATAAGTAATCTTTCTGATAAATCATATAAAATTTATGTTTGATTCTTAACATTAACTTCGCTCTTTAAGCTTCTTTCTATTGGCAATCCATAAATTTCACTTTCTTTTCTGATTTATGACATTTATATTATTCCTAATGGCACATTTGGGAAATTTTATTTTTAAAGTTTTACTTCACTTTAGAGAATCCCAGCAACTTATCTTATTTACAAGTTTCTTTACTGTTTGAAAATCTATAAAAATTATGCTTTCCAGTATCCGTCTTTGGGATCTATGCTTACTTATCTGATCAACAGAACTATATTTTATGTTGTAAATTCTTAAAATTATTTCTTATATCTTCCTTTATTTAAAAATCTTCAATGTCATCTTTACTTTAACACTTGTAAAGTTTGAAAACTCTATTTTTAAGCTTGTAAATCTTCAAATATTATTTTTAGTATTGGATTTTTCTTTCAAATCTTCAATTTAAAAATTTATTTTTTTCTAAATTTTCAAAAATATTTTACTTTTCGACTTATAAACCTCTAAAAAACACTATTTAATTAAGTTTTATTATTCTACAACTCTTCCTGTGATTTAATTTCCTTATTTTTTATAATTATAAATATTTTCTTGCTTTTTTAAAAATATTTTTTCTTATTGATCTGTATAATAATTTTAAAATATAAATAGTTGAAGTAAAATATATTTTATTTATTTATTTGAAATTTTTCAAGACGATTAGTTTATCTCATTTGTTTTCCCTTCTTTATAAACTCAATAAAACTACTTTTTTTTTCATTTCTTTTCTGTTCAAATCATCCAAAATGTTATTATTTTAAAAATATAATTGAAAATTATTGTTTGCATCATTTTCTTTATTTACAAAACATTCTATTGAGTAAAATTTTTTATATTTAAAATCCTAAAAATCATCTTTCCTTCTGCAAATTTTACCTAAAAAAAAATGCACAAAAAATATCATCAACCCTTCTAATTTGGAAAATAAATTAATTAAAATTTCCATAATTATCTTCCTTTTCCTTAAATTTAAAATAATTAACTAATTTCTAATTTTTATTCAAATCAATTCTTTTTTCCCCTCCCCCGAAGATAAATTCTATAAAATTTTAACTACTTCCTTCCTGTTTCTTCAATTTATTTAAAATTTCTACTTATAAATATATTTATATATAAAAATACAATAAATTTTCTTATTTTTGATAGTCAATTTTCTTAAATATAACAATATTTAATTAATTTATTCGTAACTTTAACCATACAGTATATAAAAATTCAAGTTTATGGCGCTCTAACATTAATATATACATATATATATTGTTTTATTGAAGGTACAACAATGACGATATTGTGGAATTCATTAATATTCACTTTAACCGTTTGGCTGGCAACATAATATCGAACGAAAGAAGACAAGTGTTGGCATTTAGTGATTTAGTGGACTTACTATCACAGCTGGAATTCCGGCAATTCGTCAGAAAGACGACATTGCTCGGATCTGCATCTCGTCCACTAACATTTAGAGAAGACAATCCCATTAGTGACTGAAGTAGTAAAAAAAACAAAAAAAAATATATCTTTCCCTCTCGAAAAAATAAATAAAGAAAAATAAAGACGTCCACCGCAGTAACGTCGAAGTCCACAGCAATAACTTATATGTGTCTTGTATTAAAAATATTTGTTATGTATGCCGAAATTTGTTACATATATATGTATATATATAAATATATATATATATATAAGTGGGTTGTTTACGTGCATTTTTGTGGAAGAAATGGCCAATATTGGTGTTTGTGAGAAGTACAGTAGAGGAGCCACTTTCATGTGTAATGATGTGGGAAAGAAAAAAAAAAAAGGAGTTATATATATAAATTCAGGATATTCCTGATATAATATCTTATATTTGTGTAGGATTGAATTAGTAATGGAATTTATACTTGAATGTGTGTGTTCTGTTCACTTATTAATAACGCACATTATTTTAGTTTTATGTATCCTTTCATTGTCATGCACTGTTTGTAATAAAACTTAAAAAAATATAATTTCTTTTATGATTTTCTTTATATGTAATTCGAATTAATGGGCATACATTTCGTAAAAGTAACATGCGGGATATCTTCCTATTGCATACATTAAAATAAAAAATTCAAAAGAAAAATCACTGAATACTGGTCGTGGGTTCGTGCCTTACCAACAGGATGGCCACGTGGAGTTTTTCGCATTTCTCCACGTGTCTAACACTTAAATAAGACCTAGTTTCCTATAAAAAGTCCTCCCGGGAGGCATCCCCCATTGGCAGTTTCACCACGTGTTGCGTTGTCGTACACTACCAAGCCAAACCAAAAATTCAAAATTTTTACATGAAATAGAATTTTAGAAAAATAAATAAATTCTTTACAATTTATTTATTTTTGAAAAATTAATTATGGCTATTGAAAACAGGATCATTTTATATAAAGTTCTAAGTTATTTTCAGAAAACGTCGATATATTTACCAATATAATCTGATAATTAATTTAAACATTTATTAAAAATTTCACAAATTTTTATACAGGTTCTAAATTAAAAAAATAAAACAAAACAACTTCTAAAACTTTTTCTTTAATTGAAACCTTCCGGATGTTAACCCCGAGAACATTTCAATTAAAAGTTTTTGACTTCTTGAAAAAGATTTGGAATTTGTTGTATTATTTTTACAGACTGATTTAATAAAAAAAAATCCAATGATTTTGACTTTTTAATATTTATTTTAACTTAAAAAGTTACCGGGACATCACGAAATTTAACAAAATATTCCACATTTTACCAGGAAATTATATTATCAATATAAAACACATTTTACCTAACATAAAATTAGAATTTCCATTGAAAAAGTAGTACTAAAACACAAAAAAATCTATACAGTTTTGTTAAAATAATCATCGACAATTAAAGTAATGCAAACTCTTATCTAGAGAAATAATTAAACTTCCATCAAGCTCTAGAACTTTGGACTATTTTGAGAATTTTAATTAATTTTAGAACTTGAACTTATTAAAAAAATATAAAAAACTTCCTCAAAATTTCTAAAATACTTAACAATTTACTAATTGCAATTGCAACATATTAATCATCGACTCAAGTAACTCAGACTCGAATTAAATATCTTTACAAATCACGTTTCTTAACAAAAGAAGCTATAATGATACTGAGAGCAATTCTCTTTATGACATCATTTACATACATAATCCCAAAATTAAATGTAATCCCGTTACAAAAATTCGATCGAGAAATAGTAAATTGGTTGGACAAAAGAACCTGAGCTGGCACGTCTGATAAAGTCTTCGTCTTTAACATTGTACAGTGAAGAAGAGAAAAAGAAAAGAAAGGAAAATTCTTCATTCTTTTCTCGTTCTTTTTCACAATAGAAGGTTGTAAAGCATGGAAAAAGAAGAAAACTAAGAGGGAAGGGAATAAAAAAAAAAAGAAAAAAAAAGGTCGCGTTGTTTCGAAGTATAGTTTCAGTCAATCGGCTTTCGAAATGCGGGTTGGTGAAACTTGAACGATTCTAAAGTAAATGGCACTTCTTCCAGATTAGATAAAGTTGGAGGAAGGTCGAGTTAAGGATTACAAGACCCACATTATTTTTAGCTTCGATACTGTACTTTTTGATGGTAAGATTAGAAGGTAGTGAAAAATCAATGTATTTCGATAGCCCTTCGACAGTTGGAGTTACCGTGTCATTAAAAACTAACTTTCTGGGGGGTTGAAAAACTAACCAAATTGATGGCTACGATTTCTCTTACCTCTGCTATTTCTTGTTAGCAATTTTGCTACTCGTGTACTTTTTTTTTACGTACAAAAATTGTTTTTATGGTTTTGAAAATCAGTAAAGATTTCTGTTTTATTTTAAAATATTTTAAAACGAATTTTTTTCATATCGAAGTGTATTGTTTGTATTAATTATAATACTGTGCCATTTTATAAATATAAAATTTTGCTTGAAATTAGGTTAAAAGACAAGTTTTATAGAAGAAAAACGTTTAAAATCGATAATTTATAAACATTTGTAGAGCTATTAAAGAGTTTTTTTTCTTTCGTTCTCTGATGGAGTACGTTATAACGAGTTTCGTTAAATGGCGTATATTGCATAATCGATACGAAACTTAAATCGTTTCTAAAATATAAAATAATGAATTTTTATACAATTTTAGTATTAATTACATTAAATTTTACTCTGCATAATACGTATCAATCGATTGCAAGTATATTTTCGTTGAGATGTACAGCATTTTGTTTCTTTAGTATAACTTATACAGTATATATATATATATGGATTTTTGATGATTTTGAAAATGTTAACAGTTACTGTTCACTCTTGGTTGAAAATGGACTATAAAAATGTTTTTGTTCTATTTATAAAATCTAGCAAATAGCACCGTTTAGAATCAAGTGGCAAATGGCATGAAGTTGGTAATGTACTGTGAGACACAAACATATACAGTACACGCGTGATGTCAGAGTGGCTATGATAGATGATGGACAAGGCTGAAATATGTTGATCGAATGTGCAACCCAAAAAAATCTTCCATCAGCAACGTAAAAAACAGAAAAAAAATTAAGTTAATCGCTTATACAGAAGAGAACCAAACGATCATTTTGTAAATTTCCTTTTTTTCCCTCCTCTTTCTTTATTCAATGTTTATACAAATAACTTACACATATTTTTAAAAGAAATGAAAATAATTTATTAATATTTATTAAAATTAAATATCAAAAATTTTAATTTTTTATTCAAGAAATTATATTTTAAAAGTGAATATTTAAGCACTCTTATTGAACCTAATTCGGTTCCAAACGCTATTTTATTTAATCATTCTTATGCATTAAATAACTTTAACAAATTCAATTTAATGTTTATTTTAATGACTTTTAAATTAATGAAGTTAAATGAATCAATTTAATTTATAATTATGAAATTAAATTATTTTTATACTGTAATTTAGTGAGTTAAAATTAGTATGAGGCAATATTGTTGAATGGTATTGAATTGGAGAGCGTTTTTGTTGGATCAAACTTATTTATTTCTTTATGAATTTAATTATTAGGAAGGAAAATATAATTTCCATTGTCCATAAACTGTAAATTTGGAGTTAATGTATGACATTTTATTCATTAGGGAACCACAACTTTGTGATCTTGAGAACGATACTGACCTACAAGCAACCAATCAGGAACGATGATTTTTTTAGCATCAACAACAAAAAGCTATCCTTCACTTAAGTACTTTATGCAAGTGGAGCAATCAGAAGGACTTGTAGAGGAATCACGTGGTATGGAAAGATAGGAAAAGCATTTAAAAAAACTCCAGCCGTAATCTAACCAAGCAAAGAATGATGAATGGCGTCTTGTGAATGATGGATGATACGCAGAACTACCCCTGGGCTTCTCTCAGTCATCCATAGCACTTGTCCTGTCATCGCTTTATGCAGAAACCGAATAAAAATCTTCTATACCAAATTAATAGTGACGTTTCCAAAGCGTGGAGGTAAAACACTCCAGAAAAACCCTTATCCATAAATAGGCTTATGTTGTATATACCTTGCCCACTCGGCCATAATAAACAAACTTTTTGAAACCACCAGAAAAAAAAATTGCAACAAAAAGATTTTGCTCGATACAAACTTTTATACGAATTAGTTATTTAATATTAGAAAAAAACAGAAAATATCTTACATTTCTGTGAATTAATTAACTAATTGCATAGTATCAAATACAGATTTTACTTAGAGAACTTTATTAGTTAGTCGCATATATATTTGCTATAAATATTCATAAAAATTAATGATTATAATGTACAGAACTCTTTTAAGAAAGCCATATGTTATATTCTATCTTGTTTAATTAGTAATTTGGCTCACTTTTATGCAGTTATGTAAATATGGAATATTGAAGGCTGTAATTTTGATGTAGTATAAAGCTGTCAAACCTCGTTTATACAATGTAGTTTATGGAAAACTTGAACTTTAAAATATATTTTCCATTTATAGAAAAGTAGCTTAGATAAAGACGTACTTTTTACAATTAATGATTAACATATACGCGTTACATGATACTCCTTTTTGACATGTGATGCGTCACTGTCCATATGTTTACACTTGCAATGTCGATAGGTCTGCATTATACAGGATGTTAACCTTCTTTTTTTTCTTTCTGTCATCTTCAAATATTTGAATTTTTGGAAAATTTTAAATTACAATAGAAACTTCAACAAAAAACAAAAAAATGTTTTTGTGTTATTTACTGTATAAATTAATATATTTTTAAGTCAAGTTTTCTAGTTAATTAATGAATGAAGTATGTAAAAGTAAAATAATAAAAAAAAACAAATTTTTCTATTCAATTTTTCCAAATTTATCATAGTTCCATTAACTTGAAAGAAGATTAATGCGCTTAATTTAGATTTTATAAAGTAGTTGCTATGGGAAATTTAGTAAATTCTGGATGGTTTGTGAGATATATAATTTTTTCCTTCATCTTTTATATTTTTATGTTGTAAAGATTTTAATTATGAAAATTTAAATCAATACAATAAATTAAAACGTAAATTAGTTTTTAAACTTTTATGAATGTAGTAAAATTTTTAAGCTATTCTCTTATAAAGTTTCAATTAATTCTTTTATAATTTTAATATTTAAACTGATAACTGATATATTAAAGCTTTAGCATCATTTTTCTATCTCTCATCATCTTGCAGATTTACAGGAGAATCAAAGATGATAATCACACCAAACTTATATAAAATTTTATAATATTCTAACTACTTAGGATATACTTAAAGTGGATTTTATAAGTCTTTATGATGGTAGATGGTGACTTACAAATGTTCTTTTCCGCTTTTTATTGATTTAAAGAAAAATAAAAAGCGATAATGTCATCGAACTTGGTTGCATGATAGAGTACTTTGATAGGTTTTAGCGTGTTGAATGCCAAGATGGTAGAGCTAAGACCAGAAGGCTTAGAAGCCTTAAATCCATTTTTCAATCTTTATCGATTTACAAAATATCTAAAGAGATAAATATGCCAAACTTAGCTAATTTATTTATGTTCTGGATAGTTTATCGATTTCTAAATATATATATAAAATACCGAACTTTTAACTTATTTAAATATATGTAAGATTTTTAAAAAATTCAACTTTAACCAGTGATTTAGTTTGAAATTAGTGCATCATCAATCTGGATAAATAAGTTCGTTTATGTTACACTCGAACAAACTTTAATTCTATCAATGGAACATGTTCTGTAGTGTTAAACTTGTCGGATCGTACATCATTAATAGAAAACGAAGGTGAAAAACCATCGATATCAAAGAAAAGAACAGGAAAAAAAAATTTGAAGTAACTTGGTAAGATAAAATACCATATACGACTTTAGAATTTTTATCAAGTGCCTCCGGTATCTAAACAAGTTTATTTATTCATCATACTGACTACAAAGTCAATTACTTTTAGAGAAATCAGTTTTCGGGCCTATTTGTCAATGATGCCTTAAGGCTGCACCCTTACGATCTCAACGAATTTTAGTTTGAAAACTCTCGACTAAGTTGGTATATTTTAGACATATAACATTTCTTCTTTTTATATATATATATTTTTTCTTTTCTTCCCAATATGTTTATTTTGCAATCATCGAAGTCAAGCTGATCGATCGAAACGCGTTTGCTTTAGTTTCCCCCCTTCTTTATCCAACTAAAAGTCATTTATCCAAGTCTTCTATTAACTTTTAAACGGATAGGAAAGAAATGCCTCTCGAACATCAAATTCTAATTATAAAATACAGCTGCGTTTCCCCAAATGAAAATGAAAGAATTGCAAAGGTGACAGTTACTATTTTTTTCCCCTTTCTAAATCGAAGATTTTATAATCTACAAGCTGTTCGGATAATGTAAGAATAAATGGTGATTCCCATACATATAAAGTATAGTTTTTTTAAAGTAGATTATTGATTAGATTCGATTATTATTATCATTTTTTTAAACAAATAAACATATTCACACTTCGGCAGTAGAAAAATTTTACTCAAATCGTTACGAATCAACATATTCAATCTAAAAAAATGACAATCGGATGGCCAAGGCGGTTAGTGTCAGCATGCCGCTCTGGGGATCCGGGATCGAATTCCAGCCAACAACCCCGAAATTTTTCGGGGGTTGATCTGTCTTGGAGATGCCTCGTACTTTACTACCCGGCCTTCCTCAGTGAGAGCCTGGCCGAACCATTGATAGATATGATTAAAAAAAAGAACCTCTTATTGTCCACGAAACGGTTTCAAAAATAAAAAAAAAATCATTAAAAAATTAAATTTTTGATGGATTCAAAACTTTATTCTTCTTTCTATAACAAAACATATACAGTTTTCTCGCTTTCTATACAATTTATTTCACAGCTTTTAAAAAATTAAACGCTCGATACGCGTAAATTAATGTCGATTTTACCTACTTACAGTACAATAAGAAAGTCAACAAGTTACTTAAAAAATTATTAAATTCTTTAAGTAATGTTTGCTTATATTAATTAAGGAAAAAATTACGAGATGTATGGCGAATTTCTTTAAAAACCATTTCGCTTAAAAGTATCCTTAATTGTTAACAAGGAGAGAAAATAGCAGTTCCATCAAGTAGCGGTTAATAGCATCGGATGGATAAACGACTATAGCTGATCTAGCTTCCTGTACGTGGAGCTTGTACATCAGACAGTTCTTTATCCTTCCAGCATTGAAATCTTAAAAGTAACAGATGTCATTTTTTTTCATCGCTTATCGAATTCATCTCATCGTTTTTTTTTTTATTTCTTTAGTATTTGAAATCTCTTGTCACGTATCCAAGCATTTCGAAGGATTTAAACTAGTGTATCACATAATCATGATTTTTATACACGTTCATCAGCTACTATAAAATATTTTACTATCATATTTTTTATGTTAACATATGTTTATAAATTAGATTCTGTTAGCCATTGATCAATATTTACATCCCTTTCTTCCGATAAAATAAACTTTTTGTTCCAGATCAATCGAAGCGAAGGGAAAAAAGGAGTTGTTTAACTTCTATTCTTTACATTCTTTTTTATGTTAATAATGGCTTTTATTTAAAGAATTATTATGTGTTTTAATGTTAAATTATTAATGCAAATAAACACGACAATAATCAAAATTACTAAACTGCAACTTACAAGAACATTAAATCATTGGGAATGTTACATGTAACGGATGCTACTTGCGAGATTTTTAAGCAATTTTTCACTTTCAGACTCATACATCCTTATACTTATAAAACTTTGCACGTTTATCACCCCTATTATAATCACTATTTTCTCAAAATATTCAATATGTGAGTGATGCTCGGTCATTGTATGAACGCTTTATTTTTCGCAGCTGCTTCATCACCTATGTAAATATTACCAAAAACTTTATTGCAATCGATAGGTGAGTAGCGATTATGTTGGTATTAAGATTGATTCTTTCATGTAAACGAAAATATATTTAACAGCCGATCTTGTAGCGATTTTGGGCATTCTAGAGTCTCGAGTTCTTTGCATCTTCAGACACGCACAAACACGCTTAGAGATACTGTTGTTTTGTTTCTTTAAAAAAAAAAAAATACTCTTTCTACTCTGTGGGCACTAAGAGGGTCTCTTTTTATGGGTTCGGCCAAGCTCACATTGAGGCAGCTAGATATGCCGACATATCTGGACGGACAATACCCTAAAAAAATTCCTGAGATGTTTTCGATTCATTCGGATTCGATTCCGGATCCAGTAGGTTGACTCTTAACCGCTCGACCATCGGCTGTTTAATGTTTTGGTTCAGTACTCAAAATCCACTACTATATAGGATCTAGAAAGGAATATCCTAGATCTTAATTAATACCTGGATTACTAGTACTGAACTAAAACAAGAGTTTTTCCAGAGTGTACTTGAGCGTGTGTCTAAGACATCAAGACTTTGAAGCTTTGATAAAAAAAAAAACGTAGGTCGCTTGTGCCCATTGGCAATCTATCTTTTTAAGTGTTAAGTTTTACATTACTTATATAAAAAGGTCTCACAAGCCTACGTTTGCCTAGGCCACTGCACTAGGCGCTAATGATAGCCGGTGAACATATCTTGAATAGAGCCATAAGAATAAATATATTAATTGATTGTAAGTTATGTATATTTTATAAATCAAGTTTAAAAAATTAAATATAACATTATAAATATTTTCTACATTTTATTGAATTTTAATTAATTTAAAAGTTTTTTGGTTTAAGTTACAATTCCTTCTCTACGATGTTAAAGTTGGACAAGAAAAAAATTCCGATGGCCTTCAGAAAACATAACGCCATCTGGTAGATTAAAAATGCGAAAAATCTTTCAGATATTTTCCCAAAAAAACAGTGAAGAATATAAACAAAAGTAAAGAATAATAAAATTTATTTTTCTTCTTCAAATTAAAATTTACCATTTTGGAATGATCCCAAAATTTAATTTTTCGAATTTAGTTAAAAACAAAAAGAAAGGAGGAAAAACCCGCTAAAAAAAACTGTCAGTAAAAGTACACAAAATCATGGTTAGACAGAAAGTGACTTAAGCAATGCTATTGCATCTGACACATGCAGTTGTGTTTCAATCAATCATTCAATCATCGATTAATTCCGACCTGAACAAAATTCCAATTTCCTCTCTTGCAAATTCGAAGGTTTGGCTTATTGAAAATTGAAAATAATTCTTTAAAGTTCAAATACGAAAATTCATTTTGATGATACAACTAATTGCAAATTTTTAACCTTCTTGTAATCACACTCCGGGGTGCTACTTACACCAATGGTTGTCATTATTACAAGACTATTTTCTATCGCCTAGTATCTAGATTTATTGCCATTATTATTATCCTTTCGATAAGGCTCAGTACTCGACTTATTAATCTAAAGGACGTAAATAGGTGACATAATCGATAATCCTTATATAACTTCATCTGTTGGCTCGATTTATGCAGAACTATCCGACACAAGAGCGCTTCGTTTATGTACAAAAAATAATTAAGTTGGTGTTTGAGTGGTTTTAATTATTTTGCGCGAAAAATTAATTAAGAGAATACCGATAATCGTGAGCAATTTTTAGAAAAATATAGCACCGAGTTCTTATGTAAAGTGTAAAGTAACTAAATGCCTTAATGTGTCATGGCTACGGCATTAAAGGAGCCGATTGGGCGCTAATGCATTCTCGTTAGATGTTTTTAAAAATTAAATTAGTGTATCTAGAACGCAACGAAAATGCTTAAGTAACCTTTATTTTTCGTACATCTCATACAAAAACGTAGGAAAGCATAGTCTTAAATCGAAAGAGTAACATAATCAACTCCACGAAATTGGACGTGTACACAATTTTCTAGTAATTAAATTAAAACAATAATAAATTACAATTTTTTAATTAAACTAATTTAAAATTTGAAAATTGAGGTAATAATATACATTTAGTAACTCAATTAATGAAACGAAAATAATTATTATTATTTTCCAATTTTACATTGACGACATTACAGATACCGGTACGACTCTAT